AAATATTAGAGGTTAAGTATTCTTTGACCTGCTTAACCCTTTCAACCAGGGCAAATCAGGAACAACTCCACAGACAATTGGGTTAAGTTCCCAACTCAAATGATGAATGATCTATGCAGGATATAAAGCCTTTACAAGCCTATGACATAGACAAATGTAGCAATAACATACCGTTCCCTGTTTCTCTCCTTGGCACTCAATAGCTCACACCTCTTGGGATGGCAGAAGTTACAGAGAATTCTGCAGACTTCCTCCCACGTTCAGTCCCTGCAGGGCTCATCAGGGAATTTTAACAGCAGGAGGTGATGGAGAGCTTGCTCTTTTTGGTCCTGACTCTCTGACCTGATACTGCCTAGTACCCTTTGGCCTTTACCATCTCCTCCAGTCTCCCTGGATCGCATGTGCCTTTAGTACTAGAGGGTTTGAAAGCCAATCCAGAAGCCCTCATTATAGAATTCTCTCTCTTCTCACCCCAGGAGGGTTTCCTATCAGGAGGGTGATTGGTTTAGCCTCTCATTTAGTTGTGCCTTTTCACCTTGCTGGCAGTGGTTGCCTGCCGTAATGTCCTGGGAACTGGGACCACATATGCACTTAGGGTGCCCGAAGACTGGTTTGTGACATGGGAAAATTAGAATCCAGATAAAACTCTACATTGATATCACCTCTCCCGTTCAGGTCTGGACCTATAGCAGAATGAAGTTAACCTTAGTGAAGTTAAGCTCTCGACCCATTCCCCTCTAATTCCAGTTCCATGTTTAACCAAAGACACACAGAAATAAATGTGTGTTGGCAGAAAGACAAACCCTGAGATGAAGTAGGAGGGATGTTGGCTGATAGAAAGGCTGTTCTTTCATTTCTTTTACATTGCAGCAGTCTCAGATGGATGGTATCCAGGTAACTTGTAGCGCCTGCACCTTATTAAACTCCTGTTTGATTCAGAATTTACAGTTAAAATGCACCTGGAATACTTCAAGCTAGAACAAGACTTTGGTTCATTTGTTCTCAAAAGTGATGTACAAATTGATGGTGCAACCTACAGCAAGTAATAGAAAAAAACTTTCAGAATTAAATTTTTGTTAATGCTTTTATTTCTTGATTTGTAAATTCAACAATGCTGATTTAGTGTCAACTCTTTGACAGATGTTGTGCCTCTAAAGCAGGATGCACCTATGGGCGTGTTTTCCCTATATTTATCTTTTTAAGTTAGGACTCTTTTTATTCCAAGTGACAGAAACCATACTTGAAGTAGCTTAAGCAGAAAGTGGAAATTCTCAAAGGATACTGGCGTATCTATAGGAACTAAAAACTGGAACATAGCTGATTTTAGGAACAGATGGAGCTAGTATTAAATACCATCAAGTCAGTGTCAGTTTTTTTCTCTTTCTCTCTGGCAGTTTTACACACACACACACACACACACACACACACACATCCTATTCATCTTTGTAAAAGAACTTCCACCAAACGGATATGCCCCTAGACCTGCATTGTTGATACTATATTCACTAGATACATGTGGCTATTAAGCATTTGAAATGTACTATAAGTGTGAAATATACACTGGATCACAAAGACTTAGTATCAGGGAAAATAATGTAAAATATCTTAATTTTCATATTGATTTCATGTTGATCAGATAATGTTGTAGACATCTTATACTAAATAAGATATATTATTCACATTTATCTTACCTTTTTCTTTTTTTCATGTGGCTATTACAAAATTTTAAATTATATTTGTGGGCTATATTATATTTTTATTGGACAGTGCTTTTCTAAATGGTTTTACCAAAAATCTACAGCAACACAAACCTCCCCATTCCTGACTTGGCTTCCTTGAGGCTCACTGAAGGGACAAACAGAGACACAAATCACTAAATATATGTCATCTTACTACATCTTTTTCCTTTCTGTTTACCATTCATGGTAACTTCTACTTGAGCTGTAACAGTTTCCTCTTTTTGAAAGTGGATTTATGCACTCCCTCACTTCAAAAATATTTATTGAGCCTCTATTCTGTGCCAGGACTTGCATTAGGCGCTGGGGATATGAGGTCCTGGCCTTCACAGAGCCTCTCTTCTAGCAAATACAGTCACTCTCGCTTGTTTTTATGAATGCATGCTCAGTGCGGGGAGTGTACCTCCCCGTGTGGCCACATCTGGTCCAGGCCAATTCATTAAGCCTTATAGTGAGGCTGAGTCGAATGAAAACCTGGATTTCCAGAGTCACCATAAACCGATCAGGACCCTTCTGTGACGTGGATTTGAATTTCTCTTCCTGCTTTTGTGGAGCCTGGTTCCAGGCCCCCTTCCTCAAAGACGGAGCTGCAGGGATACTGTCATCTTCTCCTTGGGATTACCACCATCCAAAGGAGACACTTGTATACCTGAAAGTTCGAAGTATCTCTTCCTGCCCAAAAAGAACAGTCATTTCTCTCAACTTCTTGACTCTGTGTGTGTGTGTGTGTGTGTGTGTGTGTGTGTGTGTAAAGAAGCCTCTGGATGCAGGTTTGGTTTACCTTGGTTTGGTTTTCATTTCAGTAACTTTAAAAGTGCAGCATAACACAAACAAAAAAGTCTACGCATCATAAGTGGACAACTCTGTGAACTTTTCCAGCAAACACACATGTGTAACCACATCAAAGTAAGAAAAAGGGACATTAATATACCCTAGAAGCTCCCCATTTCTATCACTACCCTGAATGCCTCCACCAAAGGTAACCACTATCCAGATTTCTACAAACATAGATTAGTTTTGCCTGTATTTAAACATCATATAAACAGAATCATGTAATACATTTTCTTTGGTAATGTTTCCTTTTGCTCAACATTATGTTTATAAAATTTATCCATGTTGCTGTAGGTACCAATAAAAAACATAGATAACCAAAAAAGAAAATAAAAATCATAATGCCATTCCAGTAAGATAATGTAAAATATCAGTGTTTATAATTTTATCCACTTTCTATGCATATAATACTTATGTACATTTTCAAAAATTAGACCATAGTGCACATACTATTTCATGATTTGCTTTTTTGTTTACTGTATCATATCTACTACAGTATTCTAAACCTTGGTCTGTTTTAAGAAGGTTGCATTCTGAATTGATCTGAAAGGTAATATAGAAAAATGAAAACTTACTTAAAAAAAAAAATCAAGAACACACATTATTATCTGTGTTAGTCATTTTGATAGATCTGGATTTGATCCATCCTGGTCAGGCTTCCAAAAGAGTTCTAAATAAAGATAGTAAGCAAATGGACCAGTGAGTCACCAGGGAAATCAGATACTCAGGATTGAATTGGACCTCTTGTTTCTCAGTGAGTCTTCTAAATTTCTCTCTACTCTTTTAAATCCAGGTTTTCTGATAACCCATTCGGAATCCAGGTAATCCTGTGAGTGACTTATTGGAGTCTCTGGTCTAGTCCTTACACTCTTATCCTAGATAAATTGATAAAATGTCCTATATTTCTCAAATGGATAATCTCATTGCCACATCTGTTTGAGATCATAAAAAATAACACTTACATAACATTTTTAATATCTTTGAATGAAAAGTTCCTTGGAGTTGCTGACCATTCTTGAAATTTCCTCAACTAACATTGTGGAAACCCATTGTCATGGAGATAGTTGATGAGCTGGGTCATAAACTAGACTGCAAATCCTAGGCAGTGGAAACATCTGAGCCCTGAAGTTCTAGTCATTTATTTCAAAAGCTACCCATTGATTTCCTAGATGTTAGCATGGAGAACTTACTTTGTTGTAGTTTTTATTTACATTATTAATCTCCCCATTTGGGTCTTCATCCTTTCCCGTTTGGAATGTACCCACTGGCATATGCCAGTGGGTTCTCCTGAGTGAGGTCACCTAGAACACTGGTATTCTGACTTTAACTTTCTTCTGTAGGAGTGAAGAAAAGTGGCCAGTAAAGCTTGAATTCCTGACCTGAGACTCCTCAGACACTGTAAGGCACCCCTAGGGACCAGCACTGGATAAAACTGCAAAGATGGAAAATATAGTGTGGCTGGGGAAAATGCTGGAGCCAGTCTATGCAGAGATACAGTAGTTTTAGGGCATATTAGAGGTAAAGGGGGTATTAGAGGCCCTCTAATCCTACCCCTTCATTTTTCAAAGCGAGAAATTGAGTCCAAGGATGTCACAGAATGAGTTCATCACAGAATCAAGTTGGAAGCTCACTTTATTGTTCTATTACCTACCCAGATGTCTGTATTGTTCAGGAGATACAGGGAAAGACATGTCAGAGGAGTGGTTAGGGTGAGCTCTAGGCTACATTAAACTAGTACTGTCCTTGGTAGGATCCAAAGCCATACACTTCTCTGGGCCATCCAACGATAAACTGAGAACATTAATTCATTCTTCCCCTTTTCTCACCTTGGGATTATAATGGTGAGAGATATTTGGCATTTTATCTGATTGGCACTGGAAACTTGACCTTCTTCTGGAGAATTCAAACATTCAGTTCAGGAGATATTCAGAAAATCCCTTCTTCCAGAATCAGGTGATGAAGATCAATTGCTATTAAACTTATAAAACTTTCTTTCTCTTCCTCTCTCCTCCCTCCTTCTTTCCCTCCCTCCCTCCCTCCTCCCCTCCTTCCAGTATTCTTTTTTAAATTTAATTCTGATGACCTCTTAATTCCTGCTTTTCAAGTTCAGTTACTTCTCTGTTGTCACAGATATATCTGTTGTTGAGGCTTTAGTATGCAGACATATTGAACTTCCCTTCTGTAATTCTTCCGGGGTCAGTTTGCTTTATGGTCTAGGTCCAGGAAATTAGAATATTTCCAATTCATCAGGGACCATCTTGGCCTTGAGCAGAAGTGGCGTCTGAATCATTACCTAAGAGGGCTTTGTAGATTGTCACAGTTGGCAGCCTCCAGGCTTGAGCTAATCCTGGAAATTCTTTAACTTCCCAGAAAGAAGGTTCCACAAGGTCAGGCTGAGGTCCTCAGAGAGAGCAGATGGAATAAAGCTTGCAGCTAGTCACTTTTGCAGCTGGATTTGAAGATAAATAAAATTATACCCATTTTTTTTTGGATCATCAAGTCTTTGATTTTCATTTGTTCTTTACTCTTTTTACCCTGTATGTGGAGGGAAAAAAAAAAAAAAAGAATGTGCTGCAATCAGTGAAATAAAAGCAAGCAAACTTGTTGACTCAGTTCCCATGGTGAATGCAAGGAAGGCCAGGCCAATAGAAACAACTGAGATATTACAAAAATGTGTTTCTTTCTGGCGGCTACACAGTCAGTCCTTTATATCCAGTCATTGTAATCAGCCCATCACCCAAGACTCTTTCCAAAGTCATTATTCTGTTTTCGGGGGCTGCTTCTCCTGCAAACAAATGTTGATTTTACTAAAAGTCCTGTCTCTCCAGCCCTCTTTGTGACAAAGAGTACCAAAGCATCGTTCTTGAAAAGAAAGTATAAAAGATCAGAGATAAAATACTTCGGGTTTTCTAAATGCTTAGGCATATCTGGCTCAAGCAACACAAATTATAAACTATGAAGCCACCTGTAAAATCCTGTTTTAATTAACTTAAAGACACACCAATGTTATTTCATTAAAATGAAATTCTGTTTAAATGGAAAACCACCACTGCAGGGTACATTGAGGGTGTTGTTCACGTGGCTTTTAGGGTTGGCAAGTGAACCCTGTATTTAGAAAAACTAAAGCAAATGCTATTTCCTTGGAGCCTTCTTAAACTTTGAACGACTTGTCATAGGTTCCTTGGAATGTAAGGAGTATCCCTCGGTGAGGCCTGGGCAAACTCGAAATGTTGTTTGCCAATTCTTTTTTTGATAATGCTTCCAGGCTTCTTCCTGTTCCCTGCCTCCCTCCATCTCTTTCGTCCTTAGCCTTGATGTTCCAGGACTACCTACCTCTTGCATCTCCCACCTGGAAGACCGATTTGATGCCACTGCCATTTGGAAGGATATTGGGTGACACAGAGGCTCTATAAAGAGACAAGGGTGCTATTTCAGGCTTACAAGCAAAATGAAGCTTAGATCGTCACAAGGGGCTGGTGAAACATAGAGGCCCTCTTTTGAAATTCTCACTCCACTCATGATCCAAAAAGCTGGAAAGAAAAGTGTTAATTGCTCAGTCGCGTCTGACTCTTTGCGACCCCCTGGACTGTAGCCCGCCAGGCTCCTCTGTCCATGGAATTCTCCAGGCAAGAAGACTGGAGTGGGTTCCATTTCCTTCTCTAGGGGATCTTCCTGACATGGGGAGCAAACCCAGGTCTCCTGCGTTGCAGGATTCTTTACTGTCTGAGCCGCCAGGGAAGCCCAATGAGCTGGAAGCAACCTTAAAGATCCTCTCACGGAAACCCCTCATTTTCCCGTGGAGGATGCTGAAAATCAGAGGTGAAGTGACTTATCCGAACCAGTTAGAACCACCCCATGGGGCTTCTCCAGTCGACTCCTGTCCTCCTCCTCCAGCCAGCGCTGCAGTTCTGTGGACCTGCTGATTACAACACTGCCCTTGGCCAGAAAATCCTGCCCCATCAGCAAAACAGCCTTCCAGGCTGACATGGGACACGTCCCGTTAGAAGACGGCTGAGTTTTAGTTCCAGTTCTGCCCCTGCTTTGTTGGCTCAAATGAGCCACTTCTTCCTTTGTCTATTTCCCCTATTGGTAAGGAGAAGATAATGAACCTTTCCACCTATCAGGCTCACTTGAGTGTTGTAAAGAATAATGAGGTGATATTTGTAAAGTGCTTTGAGCGGCTGGGAAAGAGGAGGGGGTGGGCTCAGAAGAAAGCATTATTAGCTGCAAGCACTTATCAATTGAGCTGTTTAACAATAGCAGAGAGTAAGAATACCCAGAAATGAATTCCAGGGACTGACCCTGCTTTGAATTTAGGAGGAGGATTAGTGGGGACCTAATAGGTATTCCACTTCTCCAGTTTCTTTAGCGTACCGTCAAACTAGGAAAGGTAATTACATTCTTCTATGTCGGATTCTGCCTGGAGTTTCAATTGGGATGTCAAAGCGTACTTGTCTTCTATTCTCTTCCTGAGGCTGTGTTCTGTTGTAATTGTTAAAGCCTTGGGCATCTTCTATCCCCAGGGGTAAATTCACTTAGGAGCTATACAAAGTCATTTCTGTGTAGTGGCTGGGCTGCTGTTTATAAGGTTGATTAGTGGAGCTTTCTAAATCTAAAGCGCCTGGGGAGCAATTTGGATGAAGCTGGGAAATAAAAAGGCAAGGTCTTCATCATGGTTGATCTTTTTTTATTACACTGCTCCATGGGAATTTTCTCAGTAACTCGGGTGTATGCACAGTGCAAATGGCTTGACAGCCATTGCCACATCCTCTTTCCTGGGGAAATGGAGACCTAGCCCAGGTTAAGATGAATGTGCCAGGTCACTAAATATATTTAGAGCCACCTTTTAACTTCTCTTTCTCCCACTGAGGGCTTTCTGGTGGTTCAGAGTAAAGAATCCACCTGCCAATGCAGGAGACACAGGTTCGATCCCTGGGTCGGGAAGATCCCCTGGAGGAAAAAATGGCAACCCACTCCAGGATTCTTGCTTGAGAAATCTTATGGACAGAAGAGCCTGGCGGGCTACAGTCCATGGAGTTGCAAAGAGTAAGACACAGCAAATAAAAAACAACTCCCACTGGGGGTTAGATGAGAGATATTTGTGGGGGTCTAAGACGTGTAGGAATGTTTCCAAATAATGATTCTGGTCTGTTTCCCCAAACTCATGCCCCGCTGTCTCAAGATCCTCAGGCCTGAGTTCAGTTCTCTCTCATTTTCTGAGTCAGGGCACAAGAGAGAGGCAAATCAAAACCAGCGAAATGTTTTGAGCTTGTGCAGGTCTCTGTGGGCCAACAGGACAGTGAGCCAAGAAGAATGTGGCTCCCTCCTCATTGGGTAGGAGTAGGGCTGAATTCTTTCATCATCCTCTAGAGGCTGTAGGGAGAGTTCAAGGGGTCATTTGGAACAGAAATTTTCTTGATCAGAGTTATATTAAGGAAAGTATACTGATGGATGCATCTTTGTGCCCTGAATTTTATGGGCCTTTTTGTAATTGCTGCTTCCACAAACCCTTAGCTCCTTAAACCAATCCTCCAGGCCTTCATAGGCAGGGGTTAACACTCCCAGAAGACCAGAGGTGCCTATACCAGCATCGCTCCATGGTGACTTGTGAGTCTCCAGTAACATCCACCAACAGTGAACCCATCAGCAACCCCATCCTGGTGCGTGTCTCACACACACACACACACACACACACACACACACACACACACGAACACACCCTGGGTGCCAAAAGTACCTCCTCTCCTCCTGTCATCCCACTGTGTCCAGCAAAGCCCCACTCGGAATTTGGTACCTCTTTGGGGTAGATTCAGATCTCTGGGCTCCTTCCTGAGTCTGCCCCCAACTCCTGCTGGGTTTCCTCAGCAAGCCACTTCTCTGCCCTAAGACTGCATGAAATCATACGGGATTTACTTGGCGGGATTCTCTGACCTCTTTCAAAGACCCAGATTTCTTGTTTACTGTAGTTTCAATCCTCTAAAAGCATTTGGAATATTTTCTTCATTTCCCTCTCCCAAGGTATCTATTTGGTCCCAGGCAGGCCTCCCCCAGTGCCTGTGGGGTGGGGGGAGGGATGCTGAGACACTGGGCCCCAGCCACTGTCCTTTCCTTCACCTCTGCCAGGGCAAAGACCAGTGCTGGGCTGACCTTTCCTGGCCGGACCAAAAGAGAAGGCTGTGGAAACCCGCACGCCCCCACGGCGGTCCTGCCCTGTGCGGCCACAGCTGCTTGCCCTCCCCGCCCCCCGCCTGCTCTTTTTCCCAGTGGTCCTCCCTGCCGCTGGTGCCCCAGCGAGCCGCTGGGAACAGAGGTCTGTCCCCCGCCCTGCACTGGCCTCGGCTCCCCACACTAGAACATTCAGGCATCAATGGGAAACAGCAAGATCTGTCAGCATCGCCCCTTTCTTCGGGGCTTTGAGGGCCACATTCTCCACGGCCATCTGTTCCCTTTCACCTCTCTGGACAATGTTGCTTTTTAAAGCCAGCGATTCTTCCTCCTTTATCTCCTCCTCTCCCGCCTCCCGTTCTTCTGCATTCCCACCCTTCCCCGCCCCCCACCCCATCATCATCTCTCTCTTTGCCCAACCCTATGAAATGAGTTTCTCTGAAGAGAACACTTGCCCTTCTTCCACACAAAGCTGTTTTACAACCCCTATGGGTTTTGGAGTTTTTATTAAAAAAAAATTTTTTTTTGAAGTGAGAGTTAGCTGCTTTGAAACTTTGTGATTGTCTCGGATGGGGGGAGCTATTCTTTTGATAGGGATGGGAGTGGGGAGGATCGAAAAACCTTTCAGTCATGCAGAAAGAGAACACAGAATAATAATAAGTGTTAGGTTCCTGCTGGCAGGCGCTTGCCTCTTTCAAGAAGGAACTTGATGATCAGTTTAAAGAAATTTTTATACCCTCGAGGTGTTTCCGCCATTTATTTTATTATTATTTTTGTTGTTTCTGTTGTGCTGTTTTGTATTTACTTTCTTTTTTATTTTAAGTCCATGTGTCTTGTGCTGTTTTTAATTTAGGGGCAGGGCTGCTGCGAAGCGGGTGCTGTGTTCCCTATGGCCCTGCAGAGCTGTGTCCACTTACAAAGACGCTTGGTCAGGCAGGAGGCCGATGTTGTCTAAGAGAAGCACTAGGTCCTGAGGTTCCAGGACATAGGAAGGAGTGTCTGTCCCAGTACTGACCTATGACTAAGTATGTCACCTTAGGTATGTCACTTTCCTTAAGAGCAATGGTGATAAAATCTTACAATGCTGATAAAAATCTTCTACTCCAAAAAAATGCTTAGTACGTGACTCTTGTATTTGTACTGTGACGCTGTTTCATAAACAAGATGTGTCTATGGCAGTGTCATGAAAGCTTTATGGGCCATCCTTGACTATGGATGTTAGAATAATCCACTGCTGGGATCAGATGCAGCTGCTGCCATGGGAAGTCAGCTCGGACAAGGACTCCCAGCCCGGACTGCCTGTCAGAATCACGGGCAAGGCTGGAACAGGCCCTGGGGCTGGACCGTGAGGGTTTGAATCCTCTCCACCACTTACTAGCTGTACGGATGTCATCTGTAAAATGAGGGCAATAATAGTATCCAGCTTCATATTGTTGAGATAATTAAGAGATTTTTAGCATGTAAAGCACCTGGAATCACCTCTAGCGCAAAGTAGGTACATGTAAATGATAACTGTGGTTGCCATCTCGCCACGCATCTCACAACTATGGTTATATCTGCAGTGCAGTACAGATGAGAAAATGGGCTAGTTGGCTGCTGTGGGTCCCTCCTGACTCTCCCACACTTGCCTTCTGCTGCTTCATTTTTTATTGTGCAGTTAACATTGAGAAAAGCACTAATGCAATTATCAATGGAATTGTAATGATGATTAACATAGCAATTCCACTTGGAAATGTCATAAAACACAGCAACATCCTAAGATATACAAAAAAGACATATGATAATGTTCTTCTGGCAAAGAAGGTAAACCAGATGTGGAGATTATAGTCACAGAAGGAAAGCCAGTCATGATTTTGGCAACTCAGGTTATTTGACATATTTTCAGTTGAAAAGCTACAGAATCTGGAGATTTATTTTTCTTTGGTATCAGTTTTGAGAAACCTATCATATGACTAAGAGTTTCCCAACAACAGGGAGAGAACGCTAATCAAATATGCTTTTCTAGTCAGGCACAGATGACTCTGAATAAGACATTAAATATTATAGTTTAACGCAGAAAAGAAAATGAGTATAATATTTAGAACGTGGGGTAAGGTGGCCCTATGAGTTTTCTTTTCCAGAGAGGGAAATGAGTGGTCATTCTTATGATACCTTCTAAATGGCTGAAGTTAGACATCTGGGATCAAGTCCTTACTCTGCCCCTTGCTGAGTAACCTCAGGTAATCACCAACTCTCCCTGTTG